GGGGGGGGTGTCTCTTGCTCTCTTTTCCCCTAAAGCCAGAACTAAGGCGACCTACGATACGCAAGCATTGGGTGAGGTCCTCCAAAGTGGGGCAAAGTAGTCTTAGGCCAAAGCTGCTGTGGTTCCCCACCTAGCAAGGCTGAAATTCAAGCCTTGACAACATCAGACTGCTTCCAAATAAGTAGGTCCCAGAATAAGGTTCAAAATCATTTAAGGAAATTAAACATCTCTCACACACACACACACAGCCACTGGACACCATGAAATTCTCAATGTGGGGTGTCAAATAAAAAATTACCAAGCATGCAAGAAACTGGGGAACCAAGGCCCAGAATGAACAGACTCAGAAACAGACATACACCGAATTCGTGGGAGAGGGTATTCAAAAGTTATTATAAAGAGGCTTATAAAAAAAGTTATTATGCGTAGACTTCCCATGAAGTCTATTACCATTCCAAAGTGGCAGGAAAACGAATACGTGCTAAGAAGAGAGAGGTAAGGCAAAAAGGCCCGGGTAAGACATTTGAGGCTGAAAGAGACAGTCTCGGTGGTGAAAAAGGCCCTGCAGAGGACAGCCCACCAATTCTCCGCTGTGGGCGAACAATGAGTGCACAGCAACTGCAGACACAGAGGAGGAACCTGCAGTGCAGAGGGAAATGGGACTGGAAAGCAGGTGAACTAGAGTCCCAGGACGGGGCTGTGGAGTGAGAGAAAACACACGGAGAGAAATCAGCAGCAGGAAAGTATGGAAACGGGATGCCAACAAGCGGTCCACAGGTGTAAGCAGCTCGGAGCAGAGCAGGGGACCCCGAGAAAAGGAGACCCAGACACGACGCACGTTTCTTTTCCCTCCCTGTCACCGCGGGAATTCGGGTCAGTGGAGTTTGTTCGTTGAGGCCCCAGCACGGCCAACCTGCCGTGGCCCACGCTAGCCAGGTTACTGGCCGGAGAAGACGAGACTGCAAAGCACGGTACCTTGCCCCGCTCAACTTCTTTCGTTGTCATGACGATGACACGGGAGTTCTCCTGGAACACCATCCGCCAGAAGTCGTTCACCGTGTTTTGTAGACAGCCCTGGGTGGCGATGTAACTCTTCTTGGGTTTTGCGTGGTTGCACTTGGTTTGAAATTCAGGCTGGAAAAGGAAAAAGGAGCGTTGCTTCAGACGCTGGGGTCCGGAGGAAGCTGTGACACGGGAATCGGCTGAGGGCGTGTGGTCAGAAGAGGGGCAGGAGGCGGGGCAGTTACCATGATGATATTCGCATTGATGTAATCGGAAACGGGCTCGTTGGGATCGCCGTCGTGGAGGACCACCCTGGTGTGATCAACTGGAAGAGAGAGACACGCGTCATGAGATTCCATTGGACCGCTACTGGAAGAACGGCATCACTCAGTCCATCCTCCCCCACCCAGCTCCGTCCATGTTTTCTGACTGAGCGCTCACCGCCCACCATAAAGGCGACCCCCAACGGCAGCTTCAACTCTCTGAACCACGCCTCTTGCTTCACGAAGCATAAAGCCTGAGGCCTGTTGCTTAGCGAACAGCGTGGCACCAGAGGCAACGTCTGGTTTTGCGCACGGTTTCATTGGGAAAGGTGTTATACTGGGAATCCTCCGCGTGGTTTTCATTTTCAACTTCTACACTGTCTCCAAAGATGCCTACACAAGTTGTTAAAAAAGAAGAACAACGCAGAAATGAAATGACCTCACGTCTGAAACCTGCTTTCACGCCATCTGTGGGAAAGGGTGGGCATGTGGGGTGGGAGTTAATAATTGTTGCAACTGAGTCATGGGTGTATTGTGGAGTAGAATGAATGACACAGCAAGGGTTTACGACGGGCCGACACCTGCTTCACCATCACTCCCCGCAAAAGGGAGAGCTGCCGGTCTTCTCGCAAGGGCAGGGCGGGCTAGCAAACGGACTTCCCTAAGGGGTTAAACCCACTGCGGTGCACACTTGCTTGCTCTCTTTCTCCGGGACCACCTGCTCTGACGGAGGAGTTGCCACGTTACCAGGAAACCCACTGGCCAAAGATCAGACTAGCCACATTTGCACTGTCAACTGCTCCAGTAAGCCCAGGCCCTGATCCTTTCCCCGTCAAGCCTCCCACGAACGCCCGCTCCTGCTACTCTGTGACTTGCACCCTCGTGGGACAGGGAGCCAACACCCAACACAGCCCCTCTTGAATTCAAGACCCACGGGGTTGTGAGATTAGAAATGTTTGTTGTTTAAGCTGCTGCATTTTGGGGTCATTTCATTCACAGCAAGAGGTAGCTCATATGAGATCTAACTAAGAGATGAGCAACCCAAAGACAAGATCCTGACAGTAGGACCGATCAAATTCAATACACAAGTGCATTATTGCTTTAAAAAAAAATCTGACTTCTCTACCCAGACAACATATTCTACATTGATTTTATTAATATAATCACCTCTATCTTCAGACTATTCTTTTGCCCAAGACTCACCATGTTTAGAGAAGTGAAATGTTTTGTTTTTTAAATCATTTTTTGGGGTGGTGCTTACAACTCTTACTAGGATCCATATATCAACTGTATTAGACATATTTGTAAAAATATTGCCATCATTCTTTTCTAGACATTTACTTTCCATTGAGCCCTTAGGATCAGGTTCCACTCCCCCGGCCTCCCCCAGAGAAATGAAATGTTAATTCGCAGAAGTATCTGCTTGGAATCGTTAATGGGTGGAGGCAGCAAGGTTCTCCAAGACCTGCATATTATTGTTCACTTCATCTTTTCTACAGCCCTTCATCTTACGAATGAGTGCAATCAGACCCCTGAGCAGAAGCGAAAACTCAGCCGTGGGGCAGAAGAGGCTTCCCCAAGGTCATTAGCGCCACACTGTGGGCTCAGACTGCTGCTCGCCAACTCCTTCTCTTGACATCAGGTCTCCCCTTTCTCTCATTCTCACCGACACGCATTCCCAATGGACTACAGCAGTGAAGCACAGATCAGCACCTACACACACACATGCATGAAGAAAGAGAGGCACCCAGGGGTGCCAGCCTGAAGCAGTTGGCTGCTACCCAGGTCAGTGGTTCCAACCCACTGGCCACTCAATGGGAGAAAGAGGAGACCGTCTGCTTCCATGAAGATGACAGCCGTGGCCAGCCCTGCAAGACAGTTCCACGCGGGCCTCGGCGGTTGCGACGAGCTGGGAGCGACTCAGCAGGAACAAAGCGGTTTGGGTTTTGTTTGGGTTTCTGTAGGAGGGCGCAAAACATGCACAAACTCTTTCTTAGGAGCATGGGTTTATAAAATCTGACAGAATGGCTTGGATAGGAGACCTCTGAGCAGAACTCTGCAAATCTGATTAGACACCCCCAACAACAAAAGTCTTTTGAACACTGACACACATATACGTAGACGGCCACACTATCCATTCACTGCCACGCGGCTGCCGAGGCAGGCCCATGGCCCCCAGCAGAAGCTCCAGGGACCCGGGGTTCAAAAACCCATACTCACAGGGCAGGATGTTCTTGTATCGGTTCTTGTTTTTATTCTCTTGTCGCTGGCCCTCTTTCCGGCTGTAGAGAAGCTTGCACTCCTGTTGCTGCAATGTCTGAAGAGGGGAAGGACACACCGTCACAGTTCTGCCACCACGAGCAGCTCCTCGGTGACACCCGGAGGGGTCTGCTGCCCTCACCGGACACGTGCACCCTGACACTGCTGATGCAGACATGCCGGAGACAACCTACACGGCCAACTGGAAGGAGCGGCTGAAATAAAACACCACTCATTTATGCAACAAAGGAGTGCACTACTGATGTCCGAGGAGAATATTACACGTCTTGCCAATATGATCGGAATACGTGTTAAGTTTAAAAAAGGGTGTGTGTCAGGGAATCCAGGGCAGATGATCCCTTCAGGACCAATGGTGAGAGTGGCGATACCTGGAGGGTGGAGGGAGGGTGGGATAAAGGGGGAGCCGAATATAATGATCTACATATAACCTCCTCCCTGGGGGACGGACAACAGAAAAGTGGATGAAGGGAGACGTCAGACAGTGTAAGACATGACAAAATAATAGTAATTTATAAATTATCAAGGGTTCATAAGGAAGGGGGAACTGGGAGGGAGGGGGAAAAATGAGGAGCTGATACCAAGGGCTGATGCCAAGTAGAAAGCCCATGTTTTGAGAATGGACAATGATGACAGCAACAAATGCACAAATGTTCTTGACACAATGGATGGATGGATGGATTGTGATAAGAGTTGTACAAGCCCCAATAAAATGATTTTTTTTAAAAAGGTGTAGGTGTGTGTCACACTTTCAAAACCACGTAAGATGTACACAATATGTTTGCATTCATCTATGTAGATATGAAAAAGCTCTGGTGATGTAGTAGATGATGCACTGAGCTGTTAACCACAAGGTGATTGGTTCAAACCCACCAGTGGCTCTGCTAGAGAAAGATGAGGCTGTCTGCTCCTGAAAGATTCAAAGTTTTGGAAACCCACAGAGACATTCCTAAAAAGCAGAAGCAGCATTTCTAGGTGGTACAGAAGGGCCACTACAAGGAGGAACCACCTTGATGGCAGTGAGTTTGGAGTATCTAGATGCATGTAGGAGGTCAGCAATTCGAAACCACCAGCTGCTCCTCTGGAGAAAGACAAGGCTTTCTACTCCTGTAGCGTTACAGTCTCGGAAACCCACATGGGCAGTGCTACCCTGTCCTATAAGGTCGCCAAGAGTCAGCATTGACTCAATGGCAGTGAGATGTATGTAAGAAATGTACACCCCAAAAACACTAATTGGCTTTTTTTCCCAAGGTAGTGAGATTACGAAGGAGACGACTCCTCTTTATTATCGTTTTATTTTGCTAAATTTCCTTCAAACATCTTTCAAACAGCCATTAAGAATGAAAGTCTGGGGAGGAGACCAGCCAGTCGGGGTGCAGTATAGCAATCATGAAACATACAACTTTCCTCTACTTCCTAAATGCTTCCTCCCCACCATCATGATCCCAATTCTACCTTACAAATCCGGCTAGACCAGAGGATGTACACTGGTAGAGATAGGAACTGGAAACACAGGGAATCCAGGACAGATGATTCCTTCAGGACCAGTGGAATGGCAAGAGTGGCAATACGGGAGGGTGCAGGGAAAGTGGAGTAGAAAGGGGGAACCGATTACAGGGATCTACATATAACTCCTCCCTGGGGATGGACAACAGAAAAGAGGGTGAAGGGAGCCATCGGACAGTGTAAAATATGACAAAATAATAATTTATAAATTATCAAGTGTTCATGAAAGAGGGGGAAGCAGGGAGGGAGGGGGGAAATGAGGAGCTGATGCCAGGCGCTTATGTGGAGAGCATATGTTTTGAGAATGATGAAGGTAACAAATGTATAAATGTGCTTTACACAATTGATGTATGTATGGATTGTGCTAAGAGTTGTATGAGCCCGCAATAAAATGATTTTTTTTAAAAAGAATGAATATGGGTGTAGAAGCTATTTTTAAAGAGATGTGGATTCAGTGTTCTGGGTTTACAACCCAGTTACTTTAATTACTGATTCATTCCCAGCAAACCACAGTCCTCGCAACAATTTGGCCACTGGGGGAGACAGCACGGGCGATTCTAGCACTGCTGGATGGCCAAGTTCAGGCGTACTTTGTCACCAAGCTTTTCAACCCTAAGCCACAAGGCCATGTCCGTGCTGCAGAGGCAGGCCCACGATTGGTGGTCCCATCCGCCCTCCTCGGAACCACCTGGCCAGCCTCAACACATCCCACAAGACCGGAAGCCAGAGAGCTCAGAAGAAAATGCGAGCGTTCCTGAAGCAAACCACCAGGGAGGCGCCTCAGCAGGGAGAGTGGGTGGGGAGTCAGATCCCTGGGAAAGAGGAGAGACTTGTCAGGCAACACCAGCGGGGCTAGCCCCAAAGGAAGAAGGGCTGTGGGGAAGTTGAGCTTGGGGCCAGCGGCCGAGTCAGACAGGAGGGTGCCTGACCAGCCGAGCTGCTTCCTGTTCATGAGAGAAGTTTCATTTTCACAATAGAGTGCCTCTTCTCGGGGTCATCCGTCTGAACCACGCCTGGTTTCGAAGCTGGATCAGTAAGGGAGAGTCACCAGTGGGCAAGTGAGAGCCAGTCTAGGGGGGAAACACACACACACACACACACACACACACACACACACACACACACACAATGGTTACCCCTAAAGGGTTCCCATAAGCAGATGCAGAGACTATATCGCACACCACAGCACCATTTCCCTCGCATTGATCTGAATTTCGCGCACGGGCACACAAGCCAGGGCTTTACATTGGTATCTGGCTCTCAGCTTCAAAATGCAACGTCGGCCTTGACACCCAGCTGGTGGCCAAAGTGATTAGCCAGCTGACCACGGACCGGTAACGACAGGCCATTGGCATGGCGCTCTGGCAATGAAGTGGCCAAATGGAAAAACGACGTGCGGGGACGTGCGCACGAGCTGGCTCTTCCTCTCCCCTGTGACCTGGTCTGCCCCAGCCAGATGGCTGAGTTTGGGAAGAAGGGCCGCTCTTGGGCTGAGACCAGTCATCACAGTCAGGTTCAAAGTGAAGTTCAAACACAGACCATTCCCTTGAAAGTCAGCAGGTGAACAGAAACCACCACCATGGAGCCTCGTGCCATGTACGTGGTTGAGGAAACCATGTGCTCCTTGATTTAGATCCAACGTGCCTGCCGGAAAAGCCGTCCAACCCTTCACTGATGGACCCAGCTTCCCATGATGCTCCATTCGTGGCAGGCACGTGCACTCCCTGCAAAAGCCAGCGCTGGCTCCATCCTTGCCGCTGAATGGCTCTTGTCTTCAAGATCAACCCGAGTTGTTCACAGCGACACAAGAGCCAACGGCACCCCTGCCTTTGGGGTCTGCGTCTGACCTCAACGCTCCTGGTTCCCTGTTGGATGTGGAACCTCAAAAAAAAAAACCTGCCATCAAGTCCACTCTGCCTCGTAGCGACCCGCTGGACAGAGTAGAACTGCCCCTGTGAGTTTCTCGGGCTGTCAATCTTTAAGATTGCCATCTTCCTCCCAAGGAGCACCTGGTGGGTTCAAACTGCTGACCTGGTGGTTAGCTGCTCAGCGTGTAACCCACCCTGCCATCAGGGCTCCTTAGGTGTGGATCAGAGCGGCACGGACAGTGAAGTCTGGCAGCCCTGAGGGCCTGGAGCCCACCCTGCTCGCCACCAGTTTATGGCTGTGGCCACATTACTTAGCCTGACGGGGCCTCAGTTTCCTCAACTGTGAAGGGCAGATAATCCTACTACCTCACCGGGTGGATGTAATGATTAAATGAGATGCAGGTAAAGCAGGACATAAGGCCTGGAGTGCAGCTTTGCATGTGGACGATGTAAAGACCTACCATATATACTCGAGTATAAGCCGACCCGAATATCAGCCGAGGTACCTAATTTTACCACAAAAACAGCATTTAATAGGTGCTGACAAAGCCCACATGGAAGAAACACACCAGCCTGTGTGGCCACGAGGTGTCGAAGGGATCAGGTATCAGGCATCAAAGAACAAAAAATCAAACCATTGTAAATGAGGGTGAGTGCAGAGTGGAGACCCAAAGCCCATCTGTAGGCAACTGGACACCCCCTTACAGATGGGTCGCGAGGAGGAGACCAGCCAGTCAGGGTGCAGTGTAGCAAGGATGAGATATACAACTTTACTCTAGTTCTTAAATGCTTCCTCCCCCCTGACTATCATGATCCTAATTCTACCTTACAAATCCGGCTAGACCAGAGGATGTATGCTGGTACAGATAGGAACTGGAAACACAGGGAACCCAGGACAGATGACCCCTTCAGGACCAGTGGTGAGAGTGGGATACCGGGAGGCTGGAGGGAAGGTGAGGTAGGAAGGGGGAACTGATTACAAGGATCTACATATAACCTCCTCCCTGGGGGATGGACAACAGAAAAGTGGGTGAAGGGAGATGTTGGACAGTGTAAGATATGACAAAATAATAATAATTTATAAATTATTGCGGGCTCATGAAGGAGGGGATAGCGGGGAGGGGAAAAATGAAGAGCTGATATCAAGGCCTCAAGTAGAAAGAAAATGTTTTGAGAATGATGGCAACAAATGTACAAATGTGCCTGACATAATGAATGGATGTATGGATTGTGATAAGAATTGTAAGAGCCCCAAGGGGGGGACTCCTCGGGGTCCTGCAGAGTGGCCGCCACCACAGCATCAGCATCCCCTGGGATATGGGAGAACTCAGAGGCCCAGGCCCTTCCCAGATCCACTCACAGTCAGAACCTGCATTTTCACAAAACCCCTAAGAGACTGCCACACAAAGTAACGCTCGGACTCTCTACACTCCACGACAAAACAAAGCCTGCCTCAAGTCAAGTCCAACTCAGACAGACCCTCTCTTGGGTTTCTGGGAGCAGACAGCCTCATCTTTCGCCTGTGGAGTGGCTGTGGCTTTGAACCGCTGACTCTGCGGTTAGCAGCAGCCCCTCGCCTGGGCCAGCACACTATTCCAGCCACACTCAAACAAGCCTACGGGTCTGAACTCACCTTTCTTCTAACCTTCCTGCCTAGAATTCGCTT